GACAACTGGCTGTCCAGTCTCTTCTTAAAAACCTCCAGTGATGGAGCACCCACAACTTCTGAAGGCAAGCCATTAATTGTTTTGATTGTTAGGAAGTTTCTCCTTAATTCCAGGTTGCTTCTCTCCTTGATTAGTTTCCATCCATTGTTTCTTGTCTTGCCTTCTGATGCTTTGGACAAGGAAGAACTGATGTTAGCCAGATGAAAGTTCTGGATTTCAAGAGAGTTGACCTCCACAAGCAACGGGAAAAAGTAGAAGGACTCCATAGGTGGAGATCTTGAAGAGGCAAACTGCTGATGAAGATGGGAAGTTCTGAAACATGAGGTGATTAAGGTCCCACACGAGGCCAAAGAGAAAGAAAAAGGGAAGACCGCTGATAACATCAGTATGATTGCATAAAGATCTTTCTGATAATCTAAGAACCAAAACGGATGAGTTTAAAAAATGGAAATAGGGGCATGTAACAAATGCAGATTATCAGGACGTGGCCTGGATCTAGAAGAAGACCAAAACCTGGAATGAGCTGAAGCTTGCAAAGAATACCAAGAATCACAAGAAAAGGTATGTGCAAAACAAAAAGGAAATCTGCCAACCAGTTGGTCAACTGATTAGATAACCTTTATTGTCATTTTTTTCCTGTGGGCACCCATTAAAAATGAAATTTAGTTGCTTCCTCTCAAAATGTACACATACATAGCACACATTTAAAACATACTATATACAACATACGTATAGACCTACACCCTTGCATATAAATAACATATAAATATTAATCACTTGTCACTGGTTGGAGAAGATGGCAAGAAGGAGACGGGAATTAAGCTGAAAGGCTTAATTCCCTTTTTGCATCTGTATTTTGGTCAACTTTGTTAGAACGTGTTCCAAGTAGAGAAATGTATGTCAACATAGGCAGGGAAGTGATGAAAGAAGACCAAGTGGCTTTGAATGAAGGTAGATGGATCAGATGTCAAGACACTAAAGGATCTGGCAGGTGTGCTCTCAGAATCCCTGACTGTAATCTTGGAGAATTCCTGTGAACATGGGAAGCATCAGAAAGTTGGAGAAGAGCTTGTATGCTTTCAGTCTTTTAAAGAAATAGAAAAGTGGTCCTTAAAGAGATCTCAATCTTTGGAAAACTCCTAGAAAAGGTGACCAGTTCACAAACCACACAAAGGAACAAGGTGATCCCCCAAACCCAGCACGAATTAAATTAAAATAGATTAATGATAACAACAGAGAAAATGGAAGCATACTGTACTGTAGGTCCATTAAACATTTACAAAAATGTTTTACTTGAACCTGTAAACATCAGTGCCAATTATAACTGGATCTGTAACTTTATTACAGAGATCTTACAAAAGATTATATAAAAATCGTTCTTATTCTCTTCTGTTTCACGTTCGGCAACGTGTGTCGGTTTTTCCAGAATTACATCAGCGTGATGACTCTGGCAGTCACACCCATATAAATTAATCACGCCTTTTATTACCGTGCTAAAAATCCCCTACGGAACAGCTCCAGCTGTATTTTAAACGGATTTCCTTTTTGTAAGGAAGAACTAGCTGTCCTTCTTTCAGAAATTGAGGAAATAACATTACCAGGCTTACAATACGGAGCAACTTTATAGGGGAACAAGGTCCCCCCC